ACCGCTGACTAGCACTTCAGGATATGTTTTGCCAACGCAGCGTTCGCTGGCCTTCGATGGCGATGTGGAAATAGCATGATCTCCAACTGCATAAAGGACTTTCAGATGATGCAGAAACAAAGAGTGAGATGCTACCCCTGGGAGCAAGACTGACAAGTCAAACGAGGCGTTGAATAGGAACTACAAGTTTTATATTAAAAGAAGCCACTGCATACTAGAGCTGGTTTATGTAAAATTTAATAGAATAAGCCGTTATTGCTTATGTTTGTAATGTTTGTGCTTTGATCTTTGTCCCTCCAAGCCAGTTTTTTTCTTGTTCTTGTTCTTATTTTTCACGTTGTGAGTTTCATAATACCGGACTCCAACCTTCTTGGACCGCTGCTGCCTCTCGGCTCGTCTTCTCTGTAAATACACACAAACCACATGAGCAAACCCACAGCATCCATAGCCTGAATTTGTTTGCATTCTTTCAAATGTTGTTCACTTTGTGTTCCACATGCCATAAGTAAAATAAATAATTCCAAAGAAAACGTTACTGATGTGAATATATGGACATCTATGTGGAATCCCCCCACCCGTGCTCTTAAAACGTGACAAAGGAAGACACGCTTTAATCTTTGCAGCAGTAGTAAACGATACAAGAAGCGTCCTGATGTGCGTAGTCACGTAAGAGGTCTTTCACAGAAGATGCGACAGAACAGTCGTATGCAGGATTCAGTCTTCTGCTGCCCCCGGCAGTCCTAACAGTCCACAGCAATGCTCCAAAAAGCCCTTGCTGTACAAGATTGCTTACCAATCACTTTCAAAGTCCCACAGACAACTTCACCTGATATTTAAGTTATTCTAGAATTGTTTAGACTTGACTAACATGAACAGAAATTAGCAGCAGCAGCTCTCTCTGAGAACAGAACTGCCCATCAGGTTCCCAATTCTCCCATCTCCTGGCATTTAGATCCCTGCTCTCGTAAGAGCATCAGCGGGCAGCCTCACGCTGCAAGCGGAACAGTTACCCACAAGGGATTCTCCCCCTAACACTCCTTCTGTCATGGTGACCTCCTGGACCCTTTTAGGGGTCCATGCTCAGCTGGAGCATGCCACTGTCACATCTCACCGCAGCAGCAAGTCACCCTGTCTTCACATTCACCCTACCCCACCTACAGTCCCTGAGCCCCCTCCCTCCTACTGGCGCCCAGTCTCAAAGCTCCTACGTGATAACGGGCAGTCTACGTATTAAGCAAGCAGCTCTCTATTATGCTGCTCCTTTGTTTTACTACAAGAAATGACACTTACTTCTTTGGATGTAAGCTTCTTGCAAGGCTGTTTACCCAAACGGTCATCATCATCATCATCACCATCTTCCTCTTCTGCTTTCCTTTTTCTTTTCTTCTCTGTGCTGCCTGCAAACAGCAGAGATCACATACTCGGGCATCTTCCAAAACACCCATCTGTTTGCAGAACTTAAGACGGGGGTCGCCATCCCATCTACTTCAGCAAAGCATTCCTCTGGTTGCATTTTAATAGCTCCTACCAAAACAACATGCACGTTCCCCACCAGAGGATCACTCGCTATTACTATGAAAACTGCTCTTGAGAAGCAGATTGCTTAAAGCCCCATGCAAGTCCAGAAGAACTTCATAGCCTCGTCAGAAGAGGGTTCTCCCACATGGTTTTGCCTTTAATCAAACTTACTATGGAAACTGAAGCCACAGACTTCTTGAAGTCACCACAGTAAAACCTATAGCCTGAAGTAGCTCGGCACTTTTATAATGTCGTAAACCCCTTCCACTCCCTTCTGTGTAACATGACACCACGCGGAACGGAATTTGCTCAGACTGCATCTGCCCATATTCTGCCAAATTCTTTTGGAAAGACGACGTTTGTCTCCCCTTCCCCCTCGTTCACTAGTAGAGGGACAAACCTTACTACACAGGCAGGTGCTCGACAGAAAGGCTACGGCAAGGTCATCAGGCAGCCCGCAGGTTGGCTACGGAAATATCTAAATAGCTTTAGGGGAAAAAGAATTTGCCATCAGGAGCTAATGAACGCTTCTCCCCCTGACTCCCTCTCTTCTCTTGCTTACGGGGTTTCCAAATGTAGATTAAGAACATCTGCTGATCTTGCTTTACCTCTGTCTTCAGTTTCTTTGGGTTCTTCAGACTTCTGCATGGATTTTGCCAACACTTTTTCAGTCAGCTGCTTAGGGATTCTACAAAAGATAAAATAAGCAAGAAAACAACATCGTAACACAAAATGTAACCATCCCCGAGAGGTGATCAGTCTCCAATAGATCCCAGTAGCCTGTCAGCAGCAAAGCCACAGGCTTTGCACCTAAAAAACATGTTATAGTGATCTTATCGCTGGGATCACTGGGCTCATGTGCCGCACAAAGGGACAAAATATAACACTTAACCTTGAAATCTCAGTCCTCACGAAGCTGGTGGATGAGCTTTGCCAAAACCGGGCCTGCTGTATGACCTAGGATACTCCTGCACATGCACGGAGACCCAGCTGGCATATCCAGGTAGGACGTTAGCCTTGGTATCGCCCAAGAAAGAACCCAAGGTCAAGGAGAGATGTAATATTACTACCCAGAATATCAACAGATTTGTAATCCATAGCTTAAGAGGCAGCTTTCCAAAAGTGGTTTAGTTTTCAGTTATGCTGGTAAATAGGGCTTCTGGGAATCATCTTTCAAAACCAAACTGCTGCTTAGCCAAAGTTCAAATATTTACGGCTAAACTAGATAAGCTGTGGCAACCTGTGTGTGGCAACACAGAGGAATCAGTCAGGCAAGTCGTGAACGGAGTGAAACTACAGCAGAACCACATTAACCCTCTACCCCCCTGCAAAATATTAGAGTTGCTGAACAGATTCAGATACCTTATTGCAGAGAATCTCTTGGCTTTGGCTTTATCCAGAAATTTTTTGTATTTTGCAATCTTCTCCTCCAAAGCCTCAAGAACTGCCTTAGAGCTCTCCCTGGCACCTGGTGCAGCCAGCTGAGGTTCCTCCTCTGCTGAATCTTGATGTTGCTCCTGTTCCTCTTTCTCCTCTTCCTCCTCCTCCTCCTCTCCAGAAGAATCACTGTCTGTCTCATCAAAGCCTGGCACATCTACAGGAACCAGGTCTTCTTCTGAGAACTGAGGGGCCACATTAATCCTCCCAAAGTTCTGCCGAACTTGTGACATGAGCTGCTTAATTTCAGTGTCTGTATTATTCCTCTCTTCTGCTGGCTCCACACTTGATGCTACCGACTCGGAGATTTTCTCCTCATTATTATCTTGGCTTGATGTCACAGCTATTTCCAATGCAGGAGGCTACAAGAAAGTGTAATGGATACATTACCTACAAAGTCTGTCCCACCATCTCCGAGAGCAATTTCCGTTATATCTCTTTGGAAAAAGCCTAAGATGACAGGCTAATGATGGGATAATTACTGACATTTCTGGTAGTCAGATGAATGTAAAATGGCTCAGACATCTCTGTGAGGAGCATTGCTGCCTGGTCCTCACCAAATTCAAGGGAGGGTCACTTGAATCACCAGGCTCGGGCAAGGCCCAAGACATGCACTGCCCAAGTTACATAGCAGTCTGGGAAAAACAACTGTGAATGCCGTTAGGAAAACTGAATTATATGCGAGTAGAGGCACGAACATCACATTCTCACCTGAGGACCTGGTTCTGCATTCGGTGGCTTCACAAAGAATGGAATTCTGCCCCTCTGCCAGTCATTGAGAACCATCTTGCTCACAGTTTGTATGTCAGGCTCACCACCCTGAAAGAAGCCGTAACAATTTATGCCCACGTTTGCAGGGCATCACCACCTTTCTGTTACCCGTACGCAACAGGAACTTTCGTTATTTCCCATGTTCAGGAACAGGCCGCATGCTCCTCCAGCCTGAAAATGCAGGAAGTTGTCACACCTTTAGCAGTTTTCCAGTCCTAGAAGCAAGTTTCTCAAGGAATTCTTCCGTATCGTTCCAGGAATCGATTTTGTACGTCTTTCTGATGTACTCTGGTTTGGCTCTTTCCAGCACAGCACTAATATGATCTTCAGGGCTCTTAATCTTTTCAACTTGAACCTAAAAACAAATGGTAGAATATCAACCCTTTGGGAAGCGTGCGTTCATTTCTTTGAACTCATCATGTTAACAGCAGCAAAGATTTTCCAGCATTTGGCACAGATACATACCACTCCCTTCAGCACAATGTCCGTTTCTGTGTCTCCAGATGGATAAACCACACCTGGGCAGTCGATGAGAAAGATCCGCCGCATCAAGGTGATGTATTGCCACACCTGAAAGGGATCAGTAGTTCCCCATGTTGCCTCCTTCCAGACAGCCCTCTGTGCTGCTTTTTAAATGCGCAGTTCTAATACAGAGGAGTCATCGCAGGAACTTGGAATTAACACACAGAAACAGAATATAACTTGGCTTTTTTTGTTAGCTAGCCAAGACATATCGCACCTGGCTGCTGCCCTGTATCAGCCAATGCTATTGCTAAGGTTTTGCATCGAACTACTAACTCACAGGACCAGGGCGAGGAAAGTACAATCACGACAAACTCCAATAGGCTGTGGTTTTCCTCTTCCACAATCCTTAACTTCAGAGATGTTCAGGAGTAAAACGAACAGGCTAGCGAAGAAAATTCCCGTCACTTTGTCTTCTTGTCACATTCTTGAAGAACAGAGTTAGAAAACCAGCACTAACAAAGCCTGACAGCACAAATATACCCATTCGTTTGATTCAGGAAAGCGCAGACACCGAGTCAGGGCAGCTGAGCGTTCAGACCACAGCACTGCAGTACAGGTAAGAGCGGGAGCTCAGGAACACTTCCAGCAGCAGTGCTTCCGAGCAATG